CAGGAAGGTTGAAGTGAGAAGCCAGCCTGGTCTTCAGTGTGAGTTTTAGGATAGTCTGTGCTACAGAACAAGATCCTAACCTTCTTCTAAGAAAGGGTCTCACTCAAGCTCTGGCTGGTCTGGAACTCTCAGTTCTCTTCCCGCCTCTATTCCCCCAAATCCTGGACTACAGGCAGGTATTATCAAGAGCAACTAAGACTCAGCGTCGGGCTGGAGAGATGGCTCAGTGGTTAAGAGCACTGCCAGCTCTTCCAGAGGTCCTGGGTTCAATTCTCAGCAACAGTATGGTGCTCACAACCATCTATAGCGGGATCTGTTGCCCCCTTTACACAGAATAAAGGCAGACATGCACATAGAGCACTCAGGCACATAAAATAAATAAATCTTTAAAAAAGAAAAGAAAAATGGAACACAAAGGCAACAGCTCTCCCCCACTTTTGCCAGGGACGCCACGGTGATTTATTTCCCTGCCCTCCGGACATTCACACCCGCCAGATGGCCACGACAGAGGGCGGGCCTGAGGATTCCGCCCGTGCCCAGTCTCTCTATTCCCCACCCCCACCCCCAGCCACACTTAACCTCAGTTCCTGAAACCCCGTCGGTGGGATCTGTTATTTCCCTGCAGGCCCCGGCTCCTTCATTAACAAGCTAATGGCTGTTTTCACTGAGAACTTGACAAACAGAAGAGATTCCTGCATACAGACTGGAAGAGTAAAAGTGTGAGGCCTGACGGCCAAGGGATTAGGAGGGGGACGCCATTTGTTTCTGTGTGGTTTAGGTTCCGTTTCTACCTGTGTAGACATGCCAGGAATTATTTTATCACCGATCCCGGCAGCACATGCTCCCACAGTGTCTTCCCTTGCAACATACAACTTGGGGGACACTTGAAGGTGTATTCCGGTAAATACTGAGCCCTGAAATTGCTTGCTTAATTCATGCATGCTTCCAAAATGTTTTCCCAGAATCCCACCCCTGACGCTCTTACCGTAAAACTACGTAAAGAGCTCCTCCCCCAGGGCTTGTGCCAGCTGCGTTAACACCTGAAGATTTTGCTGATTCCTGATATGAAAAGCAGTATTTTGTTGTTTGGATTTGTATATTCCACTGTGTTACTGGGTGTTTGTATTTTCTCTTCTATGGCCTGGCTGACGGTTCTTACAACGCCCTTGAGCTAGCTTCTTTGGGCTGGGCGGGAATGTCATTTGTTCCGTAAAGCCTCCTGGAATCTTTTCTCCCTATCCCGGCTTCCCACTGGGGCCCTGAGTTGAAGAGCGGAGGGTGGTAGCCACTGCCCCACCCCAGGGTTTATTTTGCTAACCCCGGATTGTAAACTGCTTGTTTTTTCTTGTCTTTCACCCCGTTTCCCTCTGGCTCACACCTAGGAGGTCTAACAGCCCAGTCTTCAGAATTTAGCTTCCCCAACCCTGATAGCAGTGTCTCCTTGAGCCAATTAGGAAATCTTCATCCACGGGCCACCCTGTGGCCTACAGAAGTATTAAGTCTCGGCCCTATTTTCTAAAATAGGAATTAGAGCAAGACTTTTAAAAAGCAAGCCAAGAAGACAATATTTTCCCCCAAACCCGGGCCTGGAAAAACGACAAAGGACATTACTTACAGTCATTACTGATATGCCGGGTGCCTTGTTCTAAAATGTTTGCCATGCATAAGACGATTTGGTGCAGTTCCTAGGAGCTGTGTCGGAGGAGAGGTAGTTTAATTTACACTTTAGGTGTGTGTGTGGGCACTGTGATTTTTATAATTCTACTTATCTATCTATTTAGTGTGCATCTCTGTATGTATGCACATGCCTGGCATGTGTGTGGACGTCAGAGGACACCTTGCAGGACTCGGTTCTCTCCTTTTAAAATGTAGGTCCCCCAGATAGAACTCAGGTCCATAGGCTTGTTACCTTAGCAAGCTCCTTGGCCCACTGAGTCACCTGACTTGCTTCAACGTTCTCCAACTCTTGCACAAATCCTTCTTCCGCCAATCAAATCGATTAGCTATTTACTAAGCAGCCATTGTGGGCTGTGCATTGCCCAGTGGAGCAGGCTATGGCTTCCTTTCCCCATTCGAGATAAAACAAGCCATTTTAGCTGCATTCCCAGACTCCTGGGGGAGGGAAGAGGCGGTTCTATCTTGACTGCTCCCAGACATTGTCAAGCTAATTGGCCTTAGTAGACAAGTGGGCAGACAGGCTCTTAGGAGACCATCGGGGAAGGCGAGCTGGGCTGCAATTGATTTTCACAAGATCTAGAGGAGGACATCAATTAAGAGTGGGTCTAAAGTGGATTTGTGTGTGGCTGCGTCCAGCTATACTTCCTAGCTCTCAGGGATTTTGAAATGGATGAAAGGCCAACGAAAGGCAGGAAGCTGGGTACGGACCCACTCTGACATCAGAAACAGACCGAGAAGTCTGTCCTGAGCACTGAGCAACGTTTTCTGTGCAAATGACCCAGGCACACTGACACGTCTTCTCCTGCTAAAAGTCAGTTGAACCAGACTTCTGATTTATGAAAATGAAGTGAGGATTGTTTTAAGTCATTGAGTTTGTAAGAGTTTATTACTTAGCAGTGTAGAACTAATATAACACCATCATTTTTCAAAATTATTATTATTGCAGCACTGGGGATTGAACCCAGGACCTTTCACATGCTAGGCAAGGCTTCTGTCACTGAGGTATACTTCTAGCTAACATTTTAGATTACATTTTTTTAAATTAACATATTTTTATTTTATGCATATGGGTGTGCCTGTATATCTGTACCATATGCATGCATGGTACCCAAGGAAGCCAGAAGAGGGCACTGGGTTCCTTGAAACTGGAGTTACAGATGGTTGCAAGCTACCATGTAGGTGCTGGGAATCGAACCCAAGTCCTCTGCAAATGCAATAAGTGCTCCTAACTGTTGAGCCAACTCTCCAGCCTTTCACCTTGTTTTTTGATATGGGCCCTCCCACAGAACCTGTAGCACACAGATTTGCCTAGACGAGGACCAAAAAGCTTCAGGGACCTCTACCTCTGCCCCTCCTCCCGCCCTGGAACTGAGTGTCCCGAAGCTCTGCCACTCCTGGCTTTTATGTCATTTTGGGGGATCAAACTCAAATCTTCCCGCTTTCATGGCAACCCTTTACTCTGAGCTCTCTTTCTTGCCCCCTAAACTTTAAGAAAAAATAAAAATACTTGAAATACATATTCTATTCATTTACAAATAGGGTGGGTTGAGTGGTGCACGTCTTAATTCCAATACTCAGGAGGCAGAGGCAGGCAGATCTCTGTGAGTCTGAGGCCAGCCTGGTCTACAAAGCTAGTTCTAGGACAGTCAAGGCTGTTACACAGAGCGAAACCCTGTCCTGAAAAACCACACACACACACGTTACTCTACTCAGTTAAACACCATCATATACACGCCCCCCCAGAAGAGTGTTTCCTAAATTCATTCAAGTTGACTGTGAAGATTAATCATTCAGTGCCCAATAGGGCTTCTGGGTTGCACATTTGCCCCGCTATGCAGGTCTGTGGCTGATGACCTGTGAGGACCACCATCAGCCCAGTGTTCTCCCTGCATCTTTAGTCTGCAGACAGAAAGCAGCAAGCCAGGAGCCCTTGGCACTCGTGATCGCACCAGTGGGAACCACTTAATAATGGTCACTGAAATGGCGGTCAGTGTTGACAACATTCTTCATTCTTCCGTATATACATCATAAAGGGCGGGGAATAAGGTGAGTGGCAGCAGGGGTTTTCCTGGAAGAAAGCTTTGCGAGGCCTGTGACTCACAGTCCGGTAAGGGCCGTAGTCTCAGATGACCTGGGCTAAGGTTGGGTTACCTGGGTGTGTGCATCTGGGAGAGCTTATTAAAGATAGGGCTCCCTGGCTCTGTAGCTGAGCAAGATGCTGGCAGCTCAGGTGTAAAGGTTGGCAGATAAAACAGGACACTCAGATGTAAATTTCAGATCGATGACAAATAATTATTTTTAGTATAAGTGTATTCTCAAAATAGCATTATTATTGTAATGTCAGGGCTTGAATCCAGGGCCTCATGCATGCCAGGCAAGGGCACAAGACTCCGTCATCAGTTGCAGGGTTTTTTGAATTTTGAGACTGTATCTCAAGTAGACCAGGTTGGCCTTGAACTCCATCTGTAGTGGAGGATGACCCTAAACTTCTGATCTTCCTGCACCCACCTCCAGAAAGCTGGGATTCCCTGTGTTCATCACGCCTATTATCTGAGGGGTGTTAGTTGGACTGGGTTGACCTTGAACCAAGTGTAGACGAGGGCAACCTTGACCTCCTGACTCTCTGCTTCCCCTTTGCAGGGTTGTGGGTCTGCTCCAGAACTCCAGATTCAAACCAAGGTGTGTGAGTCGTTATTATGGGTTGGATTCCTGGGAGAACACTAGAGTTCCTTTACTTATTGGGTGTCATCCCAGAGTCTGCCATCAGTAAGAGTATTTCCTCGGTAGCAAACGTTTAAGCATACAATGAACAAGCAAGCAAACAGACAAAAAAAAAAAAAAAAAAACAAAAAAAAAAAAAAAAAAAAAAAAAAAAAAAAAAAAAAAAAAAACCAACAAAACCCCAAAACAAACAACAACAAAAACAAACAAAAAACCATATGTACACAACAAACAAACATGAAGTATTGTTTCAAACATTGCAAAAAACGTTTACATAACCCTGATTCCTTCCTATGGGCTTTCTAATCATGTCTTTTGTGTGGCTCGTAGTATATAGAGTGCTGAGACCTCAGAATGCTTTCCCCTCGGCCCTGTTTAATTCTGTTCACCCAAGGTTTTCCTAGTTGGAAAGTGCTGGCCCTCTGTGGAGGCGTCTGGGCTCATTCAGTAAGCCTGCTCTGCCCGGGTGCCAAGCCCTCCCCGACCAGATCTGTTTTGTCTCTTGCTAGGCTGAGTCACATAGAATAGATAGATAGTTTATCAGCACATGTCCTCCAGATCATATTATCCGCTTACAAATATAGCCTGTTAGCGCACAGGCACGGCAGTCCTTCCGCTGGGGGAGTTGCTCTGTCGGTGTAAACAGCATCGATAGCGGATTACAGCGTGGTAGCTGCAGCCGGGGACTGTCAGCACCCACCCACCCACAGGAAAGGTGAGTGGCGGTGGTCTCGGTCCCAGAGACGGAGGGGTGCGAGCTAGCAGGTGGGAGCGCCTGTCTTGCGACTGCGCAGAAACCGAGTGGGGCGTCACGGCTGCTGGCGAAGGGGACCCGCCACCACGCCTGCGTCGTGGCTTTGGCTGTTTATGGCTTCACCTGGTGCCGGAGAGCTCTAGCCAGTCACCATCCAAGCACACAGAGAGGACCAGGCTTTGACCGGTGCTCAGTTCAAGAACCACAATTGAGTGGGGCGACAGAAAGCACGTGGGGTGCACGGGTGCCCTCAGGTGGGTGGCTGTCTGGACAAGGTCCTCAGGAATCCTGGTACTTTCGAGAGGACCATCCAGGTGCCCAACACTGAGTTCCAAAGTACTATCCCGGAGTGATAAATCATCTTTGTTTGTGCCCTCTGCTGGTCCTCGGAAAATAAGCATCTAAAAAGGAGGGAGGCTTGGGGGAGTGGTCTTTCATTTCACAAAGCTTCGCGCGCCCCCTGGCGTGGGTGGGGCAGGGGTTGGGGCAAGAGCGGCAAAGAGATTGGAGACTTAAAAAAGAGAATTGTCCAGCTCTGTAAATAGCCCAAGTGTGGCGGCTTCTTGGCTTCTTCACCAGGGGCCTGGGGCGTTCTCCAGTCACTGGTCCCATAGAACCGGCTAACCCAGTGGGGAAAAGCCCCTTAATGCCCACGGACCTCTCGTGTCAGTTTGGGTGCTGTTTTCAAACAGGGCCTCATGCAGCCCAGGGGTCCCTGCATGGCAAGAACTCTAACTGAGCCATATCTTTTGTTTACATCTTACACTTAATTGACGACCAATGATCTGTCCCAATTTCTCTTCTTTAGTTAATTGGCATCCCCTCCCCGCGCCTTACTGGGTGACAGGTCCCATCCTAAGCTGCCCTTGATCCAAGGATCACAGAGTGCTCTCTCACCAAGCCTGGTAGCTGAGAGCTGCGGTTGTATTTTATCCACATGAAAACCCAGCAGCTCTGTCCTCAGGGCTATGTGGCCAGCAAGCCAGGAGGCAGGGTTCCAACCTGGGCCGTCTGACTCAGCCCCTGTCCTCTTAATCCTTCCTGTGCCCTCTGTCTCCCCTGACTTGATCTTCCAGTTTAACAAATTACCCTAACAATCATCAACTGTCCCAAGGGACACTGATCGGGCAGCACAAACTGTAATTCAGTTTAGAATTCCACTGAGAAGCAGTGGTGGCTGTTCTGACCTTACTTTAATTTTAACCTCCCACTCCCAAACAAACACTGTTCTAGAAAACCCACTCTGCCTTCCAGCTGTGGAGTATAGCCCCACCCCCGCACCTTGGGGTCCTGAGCAGTTCCTATTGGCTGCAGCCATTCTCTTGGAGCGCTGGGCTGATGACAGAGCATCTTCCCTTACAGCAGCCGCCTAGAAGGAGCCCGTGGAAGGCTGGGAGCTTGGCTCCTCAGGTGAAAGGGCAGGAAGAGCAGGGGCCGCCGGGCAGAACCTGAGCCCTAGCTCCGGAAAAAGCCAGAGTCAGCTGCTGTCCTTGATGGGCTAGTTAAACAGCAGTTCAGAGCAGAAAATGGAATGTATTCAGTGTGGCCATATTGGAAACCAGAAAGAGGCTCCGAGGGACTCCCCTCCCAGCTCCATCTTCACAGTCCTGGCGTGAGGTTGGCGTGTACGCAGACGGTAAGAGGTACTGCACAGCTAAACCGTCCTGCGCATGCTATCCTGCCCGTCATCGAGGCTCTCATCTCTGCTGCACTGTGATCTGACCAGATGTCAGAACCGTGTGAAATCTTCTGAGATACAAGTTACTCCTCTTCGAGATACAAAAGAAGGCTGGACCAGATTTCAGCCTTTTCTTTCTCTCAGCACGAGATTATTGGAGGAAGTTCCAGTTGTAGGGAGAGCGTCAACTGTCTCAGGGGTATGGTAGTCAAAGGGAAGAGCCCCAGTATCTCTTTAGCATATCTTCATTCAGCCAGAGGGCCATCGGGAGCCAGGTCCATCTCATTCACGTGTTCCCTGGCCCCTGCTTTCCCTCTCCCCCTTCATTCTTGCCTCTCTCTCTACCCACAAAGGGGTATCAAGTGTTGTGGCCTCATTAGGGAGGGAGCCTGTGTTGGGTCTCCTCCAAGCTCCCTCCAGATATTTCGCATGATGCTCTGAGCTGTTAACTTGGTACCCACGCCACACCTCCAGCCCCCTAAGCTCTAGACAGCCCAGTTCATCAGTTGACAAGGAAGAGGCTAGATGACCTGAGTGTTCCCCTCCTCTCCCCTAGCGTGTGACTGCTGAGTGGCGACCAGAGCTCTGGTGCCAGGGGACACATTTTTCCAGTCATGCCCTCTGGCTCCGGGGAGCCAGTGCTTTTGTCAAGCGATTCTGACATAATTGGGGGGGGGCATGGAAAGTTTGTCAACTAAAACTGCATTGATGGTGTGTCCCCTGTCACTTCCAATACCACTCTCATCCCAGCTTGCCAGTTCGCCACTCTCTCTGCGGGGCTTCCCTCTTCTTGTGGCTCCATGGCAGTTGGTTCAGCCCCACACATCTGATTCTATGACTCAAATGCTGAGCCAAAATATATCCCAGCTTCCAGATGTTTTGATATTCTCCCTGACAGGCTGGGGACAGATGTGGGAAGTGTGGAAGGTGTTTCCTGGCTTCCGTGGGCACTACACACATGATGCATAGACACAGATACAGGCAAAACACTCATACATACAAGAATAATAAAGTTTAGGGGCTGGAGAGATGGCTCAGAGGTTAAGGACACTGACTGTTCTTCCAGGGGTCCTGAGTTCAATTCCCAGCAACCACATGGTGGCTCACAACCATCTAAAATGAGATCTGGTGCCCTCTTCTGGCATGCAGGCATACATGGCGGCAGAACACTGTATTGTATATGTAATAAATAAAATCTTTAAAAAAAAAAAAGAATAAAGTTTAAAAATCTGGCCTGCTGGTATAGCCCTGTGGCATTCCTCACCCACCCTGCGTCTCCACCCTGGTAAGCTCCTCCCAGCTTCTCACTCTGTAGATGCAGCCAGTTTTCCTTGGGCATTTTGGTTGCCTTTAAAAGAGTTTTTATTTTAATTTAAGATGTTATGTGCAGCGGTCGGATTAATAATCACCAAGGTAATAGGTATTTGA